TTCAAACATATTATCACCAAACATTCGGTAGAATTTATAGAATATTGTAAAAATTATTCTATTACCAACATATATATATATATATATATATATATATATATATATATATATATATATATATATATATATATATATATACGTCAAGTCTGTTGAGTCTCAATTTTGTTGATAAAAATTTACAAATACAAATTGAAAAATTTGAATATAAGTTGATAAACATTAATAAATTATTATGTATTAGTGAATGAATATAAAGCGTTGGTAGCGTTCATCGTGTATTAAATATGTTATACATAAAAACAAAACAAAACAGAAGTTTTTTTTGTGAGCCTCTCGAAAATAGCAAAGAAAAATCACCTTCTAGCGATGTTTTCCAGATAAAAAACGCGCACTGAATTGTTGTCGAACTGCATGAAGAGGATTTCGGTTTGTTTGCTTGTTAAATGTAAGCAGTAAGAATAAAAATAAATATTTTCTATGTACTATAAACATGTCAAGGAAATTTTTTTCTTCTAATATCTCTAGTTTGTTCACCAAAATAGTGTTCGTCGTATTCGTGTACAACTCATCAAAGAAGATGAAAAATTCAATGAATCGAGGATGAATGAATGAATAGATTATTGAATTAATTAGTTTTAATTAATTAATTAATAAAAATATTAATAAATTTGTAATTGAACGGATGAAGTTGTTCCTGATAAAAATAACGATATAAAATGTAAAACAAGTTTCATTCAAATAATTTTTCAACATATTGCCAATAACATTCTTATATAGCTTGATAGTGTTCCATTCTTTCTTCATTCTCCCACAATATCCCTTATGAACTCGATCACAAGAATCACATTTTTTTCGTTTTAAATAAGGTTTTTCGACAAAGCTATAACAATGAATATGAAACTTTTACTTCTGAGCCGTATGTCTTATGGTCTGAGCTAACTCGTCGATCACACCCACCACACCTCTAAGTGTGTTTGAATAATTTTAGGTGGTGAATTGAAAGCAGGAATTGAAACGTAGTGCTCAACGCTGATCCTACTACTTTTCAGTAAGACTTTTAAAGGGAAGGATACAACAAGGCACTTTCATCCAATCACACAAATTATATGCAATGTATTCATTATATATGATTCTAATCTAAACTTACATGATATGAGCGCATAAATGAAAAGAACAAATTTTTGTCAAAAATAATGAAATAAACGAGTTTTAATGACAAATTGTACCGTAAACTTCGATTTAGAATTTTATTCTATATATATGATATTAGATTACAGTACTAACATACATATAGAGTATACACATTCTTACATATATATATATTTTATATATGTGTGTACAAAGTTAAAAAATATTTTTTGTAAAATGGCTCCTGGTTTTTGCTGAATAATTTATCTATGTACACATTTAATAACGACAAGCTGTGTTGGTCCATCGATCCATGAAAATGGCGGATCCGGTTGAAAGTAATAATTTTTTTATTTCTAATTAATATTTTATTATGCTAAGTATACATAATTGCTTTTTAAGGTGAAGGAAAACTAAAGAAAAAACCAAAAAATGGTTTGGAAATGTTGAGTGAAATTTACCCCGGTTGCTCTTACAGTTTGGTTGGCCAGTATGGAGCTGCTGATCAATCCCAAATGATTTATGTCATGGAGATTGAAATAGAATCCCAGGTTATTCATTTTGTTCCAACTTCAATTATCTAAAAACAATTCAACAGCTTTGGGTTTTTTCTAATTGCTTATTTTTATTTCATTTGTCACAGCAAGATTTTTAGTAAAAGTTAAATTTTGTTTGTCCAACTCCACCATAATCATAATCAAGGCATTTAAAAGGCTCAGGTGTGAATTCAACAGTTCCACTACTTTCAAAAGTCATTCAATTAAAAATTGATAATGATTTTGATTGAGCAATACCATTAGTAAATTATATTTAAGTTAGTTTTTTTTAGGTTTAGCTAGTCATAGTCTAACTTTAAGATGGCTTTCTTAAACCTTTTGATAGTGCCAAAACACTTTTGCCTAATTTCCTCAGCTCTGGAACCCAAGCAAAAAATTCTAGTATGCATTGTAAAGATTATGCTTATATTTGCATTTTTGCTTATTAATTTAATTAAGACCAATCATTTGGACCATTCTTAATACCTGCATAAAACTTGCAAAAAGTTGACCTCAATCCTTAAATTATCTTTCAGGACATTAGCTGAGTATTAGCAAAGGTATAATAGGAAGGTCACATGCAACAAGTCTATTTCTGAATTTGAATTTGATAAATATGAAGCAGAAATTATGCTTATATTTGCATTGTTGCTTATTAATTTAATTAAGACCAATCATTTGGACCATTCTTAATACCTGCATAAAACTTGCAAAAAGTTGACCTCAATCCTTAAATTATCTTTCAGGACATTAGCTGAGTATTAGCAAAGGTATAATAGGAAGGTCACATGCAACAAGTCTATTTCTGAATTTGATAAATATGAAGCAGAAAAACTTCGGGAAATGGGAGTTGAATAGAATGCGGCTGCAGTTACTTTATCCTGAATTTCAGAATTTTGGTTGCAACATTCAAGAAAATTCATTTTTGCTTCATCATTGTCAGTGAGCTCAACAAACTTCCATCCTATAGGCTTAGAAACCTCTCAAGATTGATGATGAATGTACTTCTAATAAACAAAAAGTTGAGTAAGTTTTGAAAATATAATGAAATTTCTCTCAAAAGCTTATAAAAATGTTTATTAATTAAGTTTTTTTATTGCATTTCTTTTGCATAGGTGGATATAATTTTTTTTCAAAGAATGCCATTAGATTTTCAATTTAGTGATTTATTGAAGGATGAAACTTCCTAGTTTTTTCATACCAATTAATCTTACAAATAGTAAAAATAGTGAAAAAACTTCTTCACTGTGGAATAACAACATATTGTTAAATTTAAATAACTCATCGATAATACTCTAGCTAGTGTTTGAAGAAAAAGTGTTTATTGTTGTGTCAGCCTTCATAAAATTTTCTTGAAACATCTACTAAGTCATTATTAGAGTTTTTACTTTAGTTGCACTTAAAGACAGTGGGTCCTGATGATTTTTGCTGATTAAATTTTTGTCAAAACTTGATAAAATTTCACAAAAAATTCCACAAACTATTTATCAAGAGATCTTGTGCTTCAGAAATGAGTCAAGTTAATAAATAAAATACCTCAAGTGCTGAGTTGTTTTTAATGTTAAGCACAGTAATTTTGATCCTGAAGCTATGGTTGAAATATGCTTTGCAAATTAGTAACCAAGAACAGAATCAACAATAAAAACATTAGTTTTCTTCCATTCTCATTATAGAAAAATTTATTGGTTTCTATTGAAAGGTTAGCCTACAAAAATGTACAAAAGAAATTCATTTCTAACAGCTTTAAACAACCTTGTACAAAATCGTCATACAACAGTCTATAAGTTAACAGATGCAGATCCATGTTTAAGGCTTTAAATTTTTAAGATAGTGAGAAAAAAGGTGGAAGATTTTATTGTACCCTGTTTATGATTTTAAAACATAGTTGCTTGCTTATCTCGTTTCATATCTGAAATTCAGTTGACAAAATTTTAATTATTATTTTTTGAAGTGTGCTAAGCCTTGTATTGATGAAAATTGCTATTTTTAAAGAAGATTGTTATCTATAATATTTTTTGAATTTTTATTGCAGATGCTTCAGGGAATAGGCATTTCCAAAAGGAAAGCTAAAATTATGGCTGCAGAATACGCTCTGATGTATTTAAGAAAGTTAGACAAATTGACTGATGATCCTGAAAATTTAAAGGAAGATCCATATTGCTGGAATGACTTCACATCAGACATTATTGATAACAGCTCAACTCTCTTTTGTGATTTCAGTAAAGTTTCTCATGAGGCCACAACAGATGAAGACGACATGGATGAATGGATTGAAGCTCTAACATATGATGGCGATGAACGTAGACACATGATTGGCAGGAACTCGTTATCAATCTTATCTGAACTGCATCCTGAATCAACTTATCGTTTAATCTCAGCTGTTGTTGACAAACACAGAGTGTTTTTTGTTATGTCTGTTCAAGTTAATGATACAGAATTTAAAGGATCGGCTCCTAGTAAAAAACTAGCAAGAGCCCGAGCCGCCAGAGAAGCTCTCAAAACAATGTACAAAATTGATTTTGGAGTTCTAGAAGGTTTGTTTTTTAAATGATAAAATCATCAAACTTTATTGAATTAATTATTTTTTCTTGCTGCAGATGGCATGCCCGTTTATGAAGGTGATGAGCAAATATGGAAAATGTATAAGAAAAAATTGGAAGACCAAGCTTTAAAGGCAGATTATTACAATCCTATAACTAATCCAGTCAAACAACTGAACGAGTTTTATCCAGACATGAAGATAACCTTTCCTTACGTTGGCAATCAAGCAGTCTTATCAAAAACTGTCACTGCTCAGACAAATATTGAGGGTGAAATTTATGAAAGTTCTGGAAGCAACAAAAAGCTTGCCAAAACAAATTTGGCCAAACATGTAATTTCTGTTTTGAAAGAGAATGGAATGTATGATACAAAAGTTGAAGAACTTAATGAAAGAAAACGATTGAAAGATAAAAAATATAATGAAAAACCTAAATTGTTTGATGGCACTAGATCTGCTGTTTCAAAGTTGAATGATTTGAGGCCAGAGCTGGAATACAGAGTAGTAGCCGAAACTCCACTGAAAAATACATGTATAATAGCTTTTACAGTTGCTGTACATGTTGATGACAAAACATATGTTGGTGTTGGAAAAAACAAAAAAACAGCAAAGCTGGAAGCAGCTGAAAAAGCATTGAAAGATCTAGGGTTATGGGATGAAGAAGATGAGGAAGCGAAAATGAAATCCAAAATAGAACTGAACGAATCAGATGTCATGCAAGATGGCAACCAGCCCCAACTCACGTTGAGTGCATCAAATGACAAGAAGAAACCGCTTGATTTGATGGAAATGGCTAAGCATAACATGAGTCGACAGGATGTCATGAACCTGGTGAAAGATCAGTTAGGGCTGAACATCAACTACAATTTAGAGGGAGACTTCAGGAACTCCAAGAGAAAGAGAAATGATTCAAGGAGTGATATTGACGATGTCTTGGATGAAATAGATGCGCTGGTTGAAAACATTCTGGCAAGTAGAACTGGAGGTAAGGAATATTTCAAAGATTTTCAAAATGATCATGGTGGTAACAGATACTATCAAAATAAAAGGAATGCTAATTATCAGAATAGCAAAGAGTTTGGTGGTAAAAATAATAACAACAGAGGCTATAGCAACAACAACAACCAACAGAGATTTCAACCAAATAGTGTAGGTCGCAGCAACTGGAATGCACCACCACCTTTAAAACCACCTTTGTTCAATAGAAATAAAATAAATCATAACCAAAATAACAACATGAATAATAACTACAATAGCAACATGATAAACAACTTTAACAATAACATGAACAATAATAACAACATGAAAAGCAGCAACGTGAATAATAACTACCAACAATCTATCAGTAACAACAATGACAATTATAATAATAATTACAACAACTTTAACTATAATCAGAATACGTGGGTGGACCTCACAAAGCCAATGAAATGGTCTGGGGCACCATCCAGCAACAATAATAACAATAGCACTGTCAACAACATTAACACAGGTACAAGTGCAAATACTTGTCCCAGTACAAATGTTGCTAATAGTTATGTCAATACTGGAGCTGCAGCCAGTATCAGCAAAAATATTGACCCCAACGCCAATGTCAATATTACGCCTTCTGTCAACAAATCCACTAATTCAAAGGTAGCTGCAACTCCCACCACACCAAGTAGCAACAACTACGACGCAGCTAACACTTATAACGCTAATTACAATTACTCTGCTAACCCTTACGGGGCTTACCAGCCATATTGGAACAACGCTTACAACCAAGGTGCATGGGACCCGTCTGGTTTTATGTACCCACCACAGTACCCACAAAACGTTAATGCCAGCGATCCATCGTATTACACTGGACAGCATGGAAGCAATTACGATTGGAATACTGCTTGGAATTCTGCTTGGAATAGCTACTACACTAATCCCGCTAACGCTGCAGCTACTAATACAACAAACAATGCTAACAACGTTGGCCAGTTTAAAAAATAATATCTTGTTGTAATTTTTGACTGAGGTTGAGATAAAAAAGAATTTTTTTAATTTTATCTTGATGAAAATGTTTATTGTAAATAATTAACGTTCCTGGCTTATCTCATGAATAAACTTATAAATATGTTTTAAACTCTGTTTAGCACGTACAAACCCGACAAATAAGTTCGACGGAATAATTTAAAGTGTTGAAACATTTAAACCACCCAGCTCGTCCAGAAACGAAATTAGAAGTGATCGTAAAATCACGTGAAATAGCAATTTGAAAAATTATGACTGACAAAAATCAAGTTAGCCAAGAACGACAATTAAATTAATTTGAAAAAAGTGTCAAATTAAACTGAAATATTAGAATGAAAATATAAAGACATTTTAAACATTATTAAACACAAATTCATTAAAAAGTCAGACGAGTGCGTTTACGTGATGAGTTCATATTGTTTAATTCACGGTCTTGGCTGGTAGCCTGGGAATTGCTGTTGCGGGTATCCAGGATATTGTTGTTGAGGATAGGATGGGTTGTACGCTGGATTGTAACCTGGAGTTGGCTGGTATGGTGGTTGTGGGTAGGGATTGTAATACGGATTATAGCCGGTCGGCATAGGTGGCTGGTAGTTTGGATAAGGCATGGATTGAAAAGATGTTGGGTATGGTGGAGATGTCGCGTGACCTGTTTAAAATTTAGGATTTTCGCTTGGTAATGAGATTGTGACGAATATTTCAAAGAATTTTTAAATATCTAAATTTATGTAAGAAAAAATAATTTTAAAGAAATCACCAAACCTGCATAATTGGATGAAGGTGGTTGCGTGGGATATGGTTGCTGTTGAGGAGGTTCAGTGTATGATGCTGGCAGGTTTCTTGGCGCTGCTACTGGTGGAGCTGCTGTTTTTCAATTGATAATTTATATTTTTTCGTCAGTTAACATGACATTAATTTCTACATTTACAGCCAGACCATTGAATTAACTTTTTTTTGTTCCTTCTTGTGTTCAGTGTTATGTTGAATGTTTAATTTCACTTCTCTACTACAACAACATTATATAATTGACAAAATAATAACACACTTATTAACAGTTACCATTACCAATGACAAATATTTTGTTGTTAAGAATACGGCTAAATTTGTTTATACAAAATACGTTGGTCCTTTCTTTTTTGGTTTTTTTCTACACCTTATCATCGTCTTATTACGCGATTACAGGCCAAATTTAAATGTATTTGTGATGATTTCTTGTGAGTTTCATCGGCTGTCACATACTTATGGAAGTTTCAAAAATGCTTGAAAACCTTAGTGCAATATCTCTGATAGATCAAACATATAGCTTCACTAGTCTGAGTGCTTTTACTTGCGTGCTAGAAATTGACAATTTTAAGGTAACGTTTTGTATAACATTCCATGACCAAATTATAAACTTTGTAAAACATAAAAAATTGATAAACAAAAAGAACTATGTTAGAAAAAAAAATTAAAAATTAATAGAACCATGCACAACATTTTAAAAAAGGCGTTGACTGAGATATATTTTGACAAGGTTTTCATGTGTGAGTGCTTGCATGTGCAGATGTAAGATGTTATAATTTTTGAAACCTGGTGTATCATGCTTCAATTTTGGGGGTGGTGGTCTTTTTGGAGGTTCTTGTTTTTTGTTTATGTCATCTAGGAAATAGTAGTAGTCATTTTGGGTTTAGTCTTGATTGTCTCACATTGCGTATATGAAAGCAAATGCAAAAAAGCAAAAGCAAAAAATGTAAATGCTAACAAAAAATTACGTTAACAAAATTATAATAAATAATTACTAGCCCAAAAATCTATAAAATTGAAATATTAAAATAAATGTTAGTAAAGTGTAAATGGAAACGAAAAATGTACAATGTGTTAATGAAGGTATAAAATTTAGTTAGCTAGCTCCAAACCAAAACTGAATTCAAACTGAAAAAACTGAGTGATTTAAACTTAATTAAATTCCATCCATGGATTACAGACCGGGTTTCTGATATGAAGGTGCCACTGGAGCAGGAGCAGTTGTCTGGCGGGCGATGTTGGCCGAGAGATCCTTCATCAGTTCTTCTTTCTCAGTTTTCCTGGCAAAACAGAAGTCATTCACTTTCGATTGAAACTTCAGAAGTATCTCGGTCAAGTCATTATAGAACTGTTCAAAGAATAACACAATTTAATTTAATTATTATCTCGTTTTAAAAACTACAAACTTTCATTCATAGAAAACGAAATCCGGAAAAAGTGACTTGAGAAAAATATCTCAACGTGGTTAATATGCAACCATCGATGAATACCCACATCTTTTCTCAATCAAAAAAAATGAAAAAATATTATGAAAGAAACATTTTAAAATATATAATCGGCTTCATTAATAACGAAAAAATCCATTGGAGCAAAGATTTAATGATTACTATGTTTACAATCTGTTTAATTATGTGAAATGTTTCTTGACATGATCACATGAGAAATAAATGAGTGGGGTAAATTTTGAAGTGGGTTAAACCTTGGTTCCTTCTTCCAAGTTGCCCTTTAGTTCAGTGAAACTATCGTATGCAGAGGCTAAACTCTTCAATTTTTCTTCCCTGGCTGCAGCAGACTCGTTCTTGTTCTTAATTTGACTAAATTCTGTGTTGGCAATCTGGCGTGGATATCAATTACTATGATAATTAGATATCAATAAATGTTTTTGATATCTCGGTTATTAAATTTGAAATACTTCTGACCGTATTATATCTAGCTTTTGATTTATAAAAAATATTTAATCATTTCTAAGACATGTTAATTTTAATATTAATTTAAAACAAGAAAAAATAAAGTCAAATTTTTCTAAATTTAGAAAACTAAATGAAAAAAAGTGTTACAAACAACCTGAACTCTTTGCAGCAACTCTTCTTGAGTTTGCAAATTATCCTTAACTCTCTGCACGATTGGAGCGAATACTCTGGAAATGTATGACATTGATATTTTTTCCTCATCAATGGCTCCATCTGTTAGCAAGGCAGATAGGAACTCTGAGGCTGCATTTCAATTTTTAGTTAATGCTAAGTAAATGATTTGAAAAGGCACAAAAACAACTAAGAAGTTACTTGAAATAAAAAAATTGTGATTAAGTAATTTAATTAAGTAATTTCATGTAATTATACGTAACATAAATATAATTTAATACAATGAACACACTTCAAACACACAAACTCAAGTTATCCTTAGACGATATATCTCTTATTTCCTTCTCTAAATTGTCTCTCTGCAATTTAACATCATCCAACTTCTTCATAAGACTTCTCAATTCAGCAACCACAGGTAGGTTCTCAGAGTGGGCATTTGATCCGGACGATGGTAAACAGGACTGTATGTCTCCCTAAGTTCATTTAAAATAACATCTGAATAACTATAAACACTGGATAATGGCAAGTAAGAATAAGTATCAGCCTTCAGAATTCCAAAAAATTATTCAATCATTCCAATTTACATATGCAAGAATATTTATATTAATGCTGGTTTCAGTTAAAACTAATGATACAATTTATGAATAAATAAAAAAACTACAAAATGAAAGTTAAACAAAGCAGCACTAACATCTGACATGCTGAGGAGCTTAATGTCATCCTTGTGCTTGTTGAATCTTTCCCTGACGATGGCATCTGCATTGATGGCGTTGTTGATGATGGTCCTGTATTTCCCTGCTTCAGCTTTTATTGTTTCTGTCAACTTGTTCGATGGAGTTCTGCTCCATCTCTCTTTAAACTGATTTCTTAGCTGTGTGTCTGACTCCTCTTCTTCAATCAACATTCGGTCTGTCTGTTTTGAAATACTATCAGTAAATAATTCTGATTATTTTAATCCTTATAATATAAAAAACATGACTATGATTTTCATGAAAATGATGAAATATAACAATCTTAGGTTGAATGAAATAACATTTATTTGTTACATGTTTTAAAAAAATGTACCAAAATTAACACCGACACCTTATTAGCATTATTAAAGTAAACAATATAACAGCTACTGAACATAGCAGAGACACTTTTATTTGAAATTAGTAGTAATAGGACCTCGTCAAGTATTTCCTTGTTCCTCTGCAGGAGTGCAGGAAGCTCCCTCATCAACCTCTCTAAGACCTCAAATCCCCCCGCTTGCTTCAACTCACCTGCTTTCGTCGATACTGACTTTGGAATCTCTCTCCCACCAACGTCTTCTAGTGCTGCTGGCAAATTCAGAGATGCTAAGACGCTGTTAAATGAGTTTATGAGTTTGAAAACATTTACAAATCGTCAGACAAAGCAATAAGTTATTAAAAATAATTATGAAGAAAGAAAAGTTAAAATGATACAATGTATTGAAACTGATGCATACCTGTTAAGCATTTGTGTACAATCTCTGAGTTTGCTTATTTCCAGATTGATGTAAGCAGACCTTCTGTTCTCATAACTCACAAACGCTAGATGCACAGATAATGGAACTATCTTCTCAAATAAATCTTTTGAGAGGTTGAAAATTTGGTTTAGTAGCAATGTAACACCTTTGACATAATAATCATAAAAGTGAACAAATGTAAAGGAACCTTTAAATTGTTTACTGAATGGTGCAGCAATTGGGAGAACTTTTGCAACGACAGCCTTCCCAATTGGTGCCAAGCTGTTCAGTTCAGGAATTTTTGCATGGTATATGAAATCATTGTCCTTTTCAGCTTCAGTCAGTGAACGAATGATCTTCCCTTTCAAATCTTGGAATATAAACTGGGCACCTGAGCGCATTTCGCTGGCCATGATCAACTCTTTGCTGTGCTTTTTAATAAGGAGAGAATCAACATGATCATAATAATATACACATTGCATCTGGAAACCAATTACATTATGGCAAAATAAAATTTAAGCCAACTTTCAATCTTGCAATTTCTTCTCCAAAATCTTTGCTTTCTTTTGAAACTTGACTCTGGTAGTATTCTGCCATTGCAAAGTATGCGGACTGCTTACCAGCCACACTCAACAACCAATCCTTACCAGAAAACAAATAATAACTACAGCTCATAATCAATAACAGCTATAATTGCAATATCTATTAAGAGAAAAATTTTTTGAATAAAATAAACTGTGTTTGCCATAGATAAAAAAAATTCATCTCAAATATAAAATAGGTTTCTAATTGATATGAATAAATTATGGTAAAAGATAGTGCATTTCATAAACATTCAAGTACATGCAAGGCTAATAAACTCTTTAAAAATCTTGATAGTAAACAATCAACTGATAACTTAGCAAACTGCATATAATTTCAACATTGCTAGGAAACATATTTTGCACACATGATTAATTTAATAATAATAATGAATAAATTGCCTTGGGCCATATTTGCTTGATAGATTCCAATTGAAGTAACTTGTGAGCATCTGCATAGAGTTCAGAACATTGCATGGCAAGTTTGGCAATCACTGCCGGCTTCATTTTGTCTTTTGTTGTGATTATTATTTTCATTTAAAAAAATAAATATTAATAAAAACAAATATACAATCTAATAAAATTATAATAAAACAAAGAAATGACCAGTGGAAGACTTTAAAACAGCAACTTCAAAACAACAGAGTTGCAAAAATAATAGAAAAAATTTTAATAGACATGATTTTATTAAATTAAACTATTAAACATGATTTTGCATCAATAACATAGTGAATAAATAATTTCAAAACATTAAAAAACAAAACAAAAATATGTAAAAAAAGCAAAAAAAAGGATGATAAACACTCATGACATGAAACCTATACCAATGAGAAACAAAACAGAACTAAGTGCCCAATAAAATTAAACTTACAGCATGACAAGCTTGTATAACACAAATAACAGAAAAAACAAACACATAATATGACAGCAAAGCATAAAAATATCCATAGGACAGTGCAACAACAATAGTATACACTCAGAAAACGTAAAATGGCAACAATACACTGACAACATTAATTAATGTAGCAAATAAAACAACCAACCATTAGTAGCTTTCCTGACAAAGCAGTCCTGACTTTGTGCCAACATGAGTGCAGACAGAGCATTAAGTGTGTCAGGCTGGAGATCTGGAGTTGGATCTGCCTGTATGTTGCACGTTGTGTTGCCCTTCAGATAACTTAATATTCCACTGGATTGCTGGAAGAGTAGTTAAAATTTTGATTAAAAATAATTTATAATAATTAAATCCTGTCCATGTTGATAAGATTTTCAAAAGAAAAACTATATAAATCAATAGTGGTACTGTAATGTACCTGGAAAAGTTTGGCTGCCAGTTTCAATTCTTCATCACTGGTCAGTGTTTGACATTCAGCCACCCGACTCTGCATAGCTGCCATGTTAAAGAGGACACAACATTTTTCATATGCTCCTGAAGTCAATGCTGTTGAATTTAAATGTAATTATAACAATGTAATTGTTGAGAAATGAAATTATATTGGATGATTTGTAATTATTTATAAAAATAAACATTGAAAAAAACTGACATAACACTCTTTTTCCATAGAATAATGATTCTTTATCAAAAGCATCTTGCCACTTGAAAGTTACTCTAATCTGAATAATAACATAATCACATATTTTATTTTACTTATATGTAGAAAAAACATTCAATATTTTCTAGATGAAAAATTAAATTTACTTGGTTTTCTGATATAGGAAACTTTCCTTCAATCACAACCAACTGATCATAGTAGCTTTGAAAATAAAAAATTAAGTTTTTCATTGAAAATATTTTGAGCTAAATAAACTGAATTTGTTTTATTTTACTTAATTTTGATAATTATAAAATCATAAAATAAAATCATAAAAAGCTGAGTTTTTACTTTAATAAGTTTAATTTAACAGCTGTTTAATTTATAATTCAACTCAAACTGAATATATTAGTTAGGCATAGTTAGTCAATTAGAATATTTTATATCTACAAATTACAGCATTATACTTTATTTTTATTTAAAAGCAGTCAAAACTCAACCCAACTGACACTTATTTATTTATAATATATAATATTATTATATATATTATTATTATATTATATATATAAATATATATATATATATATTATATAATAAATAATAGATATTGACATTGGCAGCCTAGCAAAATATATAACAAACTATTAAAAATGAACATGAAATAGAAATTTCACCGATAGATGGCTTCCAGCGCAGATTCATGCTTGTCCCCAGCCTTTAGGATCATGTTCAGACGAAGTTTGTTCAGCTCATTGAGGGCTGCGGTATGGTCTTCCGTGTTTCCATAAGTTTCTTGAATGAAACTTTTTAAAGGTTTCACGAGATCAACTTCCCAAGTCTTTTTATTTGGAATGGACAGGAAAACACCCGAAGTTGACATTTTGATATTCGGTCACTAATTTACTCGTGAAAATGAATGGGATTGAAAATGAAACAAAATGACAATGAAATAAAATCGATTGTAGATTAAAAATAAATAAGGTACCTAACAGAACCCAACTCTTGGATTGACTAACTGGAACTTTAATTCAATGATTACACATCTCATACGTATTTTATTATTAATTATTTAATACTAATTATCATAGACGTATTTAAATAATGAACCATCACATATTACATATATTTTACACGGAGGAACTATATATCTAACGGGACATTAATAACTTATTAAACATAAGTGACGGGATCTATCCAGTCTGGAGTTTAGGCTGGGATTGTCTCATCGTCTTTTTTCAATTATAAGCTTGATTTGGAGGAATATTTTTCGTCACATCTTTTGTCAGCTGAAAAACAGACAAAAACTAAACAGACAAAAGTATGTACTTCATCAGTGAAACAATAAAAACAGTTATAACGAACACTTGCAGCAAATGTTGAAAGTAATAAAAAAAAATCACAGAACTCAGAAAAACATTAGATATTAAAAAGCTAAACTACTGATAAAACTAAAAGCCTTTAAAACCATGATATAATTATATTATTAACACGAGACATATTAAACAAAATTGTCCTTTATCTGGCATATATTAAAATAAAGTAAGGGCTAGGCAATTGTGTTAAAGTACATTCACTTTGGCAAATTTATCTCAATATTTGTCTCTCCATATGATTTAATAACTTCTAACCCAATATTTCCCCCTTTAAAGTCCCGCCTAATTGGGTCTGTTTGCAGCCCATTCAGAACCGTGATTACATAAAAATAAATACTTTGACATGAACAAATTTAAAATATTTCAATTTTAGTAAAAATAAGTTCAAAATTATACAAAACTACAAAAAAGATGATAATGCAAAAAGATAAAAGTCTATTAATAATGCAAAATAGATATTTCTTTGATGTATTGCACCCAGTGCTTTTTAATTGTTGGCATGTGAGAACAATTAAACATTCTTCCTCTTCTTGTACACTGATTGTCTACACTTTATTTCAGGAAATCAGTTGGGCAACACTACGATATTTTCTTAATTTACGATAAAGATATTAATAATAATTATTATGATAATAACATAAACAACGATAATAATAATACACTTAACTTTGAATAGCTTGTTATTGATGAAATAAAATCTTAGTTAAACTTTCTTTGAGCATTCTAACAAAAAATAAAAAAATAAAAACAAAAGACATGGAAACACAGAATATAACTACATAACTCAGATACAAATGTTCTGATTTTCACCATACATCATCCACATCAACATAACACACACACACACACGCACACACACACGCACACACACACACACACACACACAACACAAACAGACACACCACACACACACAGACACACCAACATTTTCACCATAAATCACTCAGGCTAGCACTTTTTCTCAGCACCAGGTGCGTTATCAGGATCCTCTGGTTTCTTGATAAGAGATTGCAGATCAGCTTGGGCAGACTGCTTGGCAGCCCTTTTAACCCTCAAGTAAACTCTTAATTTGGAAATGAGTTCCGCCATGGCACAGAAGAGAATCAGAAGGACTGTAACACCAGCTGCTATGCAGGCTTTTACAATCGTCCACCTTCTCTCTTCTGTGTTGTCAATTTGAAATTAGAACCATATTTTTAGACATACATGTGTTCTCAGTGTTGTCAATGATGACAAAGTAATTTACAAGATGTATTTGATGAGTAAAAAATGGAGTAAAAGTAGATGATGATGAGAAATATAAATATACCATCTTCTTTATTTTCATCCTCATTGTCAACAATCACACTGGGCATTGCAGGCCAAGTATCTGATCATAAAATATTTAATTTTCAGTCAACCACAATAACCTTTATTATTAATAATGGTATAATTTTATGATATAGTTTGGTACAATAAAAATTGAACGATACCAAATAATTTTTAATTAAAAAATTTTACCTAATTTTCTGTCTGCAGTGCAGGCATACTCAAATTTATCCAACTTTTTGTGTTTCTTCTTGACATCAGGACAGTAATGCATGAAGAGGATCATGCATGGCTTTACTTGCTCAAATTCACTGATATGGCATAAACAATAAAATTTAATAAAAATTAATTTTAATTAAAAATTAATTAAGTATATTATGTAGAAAATTATTAAACTAAGATGACCATTCAACCAACAATGAAATAGCTTAAAATATATTAATCTTTTAACATTCATTAAATCTTATAGCAGGCAAGTGATTAAGAGATGAACTACTAAATTTTGGAATTTCTATTTACCCATTATATACGAGAAAGATTTTATTTTAAAATTCTTAATTTCAAATAGAAATAATAATCCACCCACATAAGACCAATTATAAAAATAAATCCATGTTGTTAGTATCTTTTACTTGGTCCATCAAATTTATCATTGCCAAATTTTTTTACATAATAATAAATATTCATTTATATTTTATATATATATATTCAATTAAAATTTAAAAGCTAATGTTTTTCAATAAATAACATAATATAACAACAACTGATGTAATGTAGTAATCTGTAAATAGTGTACCCGCAAATTTCATTGACTTGTGAATCAGGCAAGTTTTTGAGAACTTCAACTCCATTTCTGTAATTATTATTGAATGGTTTCAGGCATTTCTCCAGCTCGCTTTTCATTTGGACTTCATCACAGTTCATGGTAGGCAGAGCTTTAGCTAACTCTGCAGAAATTGTCAAAAAATTATTATTTTTTTCTATCTTTTATTTATGTTATATTTTTTTTAATGTTATTTTCAAGTTAAAAAAAATAAAAATACAAATAAAAAATACAAATATAAAAAAAAGAATCTTACCTGTTTTTAAAAAAATTAATAAAATGACCGATGTCAATCGTGAAATCATTTTGTCTATCAACATTCAACTTTGATAAATAATTTATTATTTTAATAAACAAATGAAAAATCTTGCAAAATAAAGTAAAGACGTCTGTGAAGTTAAGATACCTAGTGGTCAACGACTTGCGGTAGTGAGTTTAGCTTCATGTTGTAACGTTCCCAAAAAGACTCGTGTTTCTGGGATCTATAAAGTCTTTGTCTTGGACGTCCTGTAATTTGAAATTATTTTTTTCTATTTAAATAATATTATTGCTTTTTGCTTAGAAAGCACAGTGGCTTACCGCTTAATGAAGCCATAGGTTTGCATACGAAATTGCATGGATTTCAACAAACAGCTAATAAAAAATATGTACTTGACTGAATATTTTTAAAACAAATAATTAAATCGAATTATGTAATTTGATATTATTTTTGTCAATTTAAATGGAAATATTGCTTTTTGTTTCGGAAATACGGTGCCTAACCTACCGCTTAATAAAGCAATGAGGTTAGCTCACTTACGAAATTGCAATATTTTCATGAAAATTCATAAAAATAATTTCAAATCACATAATTCAAGGTTCATTGTGTGTATCGTATTATGTATGTGTATATATAGATATATGGTTATAATAACACTTGTGTTAAGTATCAAAGATAGATATACTTTAAACATACATTTTGTATAACACACATATGCACATGCACACACATTTACATATACATGTTTATACGTATGCTTTTGAGTATGGACGTGATCAAATCAACCAAACACACAACCAATAAATTCGAATGTTCAACCACCCATCCATCCAAACATTTATTAAACAAGCAACCAACCAACCGTTAAATAAATTATTCATTCAATCAACTAATCAACCAACCAATCGACTAATCAATTAATCAATCAATTTACCAATAAATCAAATTGAATGAAACAAATGAATGAACCAATGATTGAACCAAATGAACGAGTATTGAAATATGAAAAAACGAAAAAAATAATTAATTAATAAAAAAATATTTGCGAGGTTTGCGCACGCAGTTCAAATTTTTCTGGGAGAATTCAAAATAGTTTAAGACCACACCTTGCTTAACATCCAATTTCAAGCCGAGCCGAGCCAAGCCAAGCCAAGCCAAGCTGAGCCAATATGCGAAGATTTATAAGCGCTTTTATAATAAAATTTTACTCGCTTTATATATACATTATATAAATTCATTATAAAAGCAACAGTAACCAGTGCTACATATTACGCACGCAGTTCAAATTTTTCGGGGAGAATTCAAAATAGTTGGAGACCACACCTTGCTTAACATCCAATTCCAAGCCGAGCCAAGCCGAGCTGAGCCAATATGCGTAGATTTATAAGCGCTTTTCTATTAAAATTTTGCCGAGCCAAGCCGAGCTGAGCCAATATGCGTAGATTTATAAGCGCTTTTCTATTAAAATTTTGCTGCTTCATACACGAATATCCCAAATACCGATATCAAACAAATGACGCGAGCGAGTTTAAAATATTTTATTCAAAATTTAACTAAAATAGAACATATGCACATGTTTTATTTGCCAAGTATCCATTCATTTAAACACGCGCACCCTTCAATTGAACTATCTCTCAATCTATTTCTTTTTATGCTTATCAGTTTTTCAGATTTTAAAAAAGCTTGTTCTTTTGGTGTGGAAGTTGAAATGATACATTTCACTAAGTATAGAATACCGCTAGCATGACGTCATTTCCTCCAAAGATTCCGTAACAAATTCTCCATCCTATTTTAAAAATTTAAAGATTGATTGGTTGATTGATTGATTGGTTGGTTGGTTGGTTGGTTGATTGATTGATTGATTGATTGTTTGATTGATTGATTGATTGATTGATTGATTGATTGATTGATTGATTGATTGATTGATTGATTGATTGATTGATTGATTGATTGATTGATTGATTGATTGATTGATTGATTGATTGATTGATTGATTGATTGATTGATTGATTGATTGATTGATTGATTGATTGATTGTTCGGCCTGTTAATTTGATTCAGCGGTTGACTGTTTGGTTAATCGATGGTAGTGTATCAAACAGTATCTTATTGAACATGTTAATTAATATCACGAAATGAAATAAGTTACTTTTATCAGCAATTTAAAAAAAATTTCAATTTGATTTCATCGCGATATCTATGATGATGATTGTGATCTGACTGATTAAAAAACATCAAAGAAAATTTTTTAAATAGTAGGGATTATTTGTTATGAAATCATTGGAAGAAATAATTGTATTTCACCGGATAAAAATGCATTTTTGATATTCATAAAGGTTGCTCGTTAAGACTCATGCAATTTCGTTGGTAAGCCAACGATCCAAGCAAGTTAAATAACCGACCCTTCCGGCTATAATTTGTTTACTCTTTTAAAATATAATGACATAAAAAATTAAGCTATATTTCATGTGTGGAATACATGCATATTCCATGTGTATTTCATATGTTCGAGTGTAAAATTTTTATTTTTGTCTTAACTGTCCAGTTCTGAAGCTTAACGGTTTACAAAAGAATGATCAATTATATATATATAAATAGAAATACTAGAAATTGGGCACGACAAGTTGTAAAAATTGAAAAATGATTTGAGTGGGTTAGGTGACAGAACAAGGCCATTTTAAACTGTAAAACCGAAAAGGAAAATAGACCAAAGCGGCTAAAAATGAGAAAATGAAATAGAGAAAGATTTATATGAACAGCAAGAAGGAGGTAAACGTTGAAATAACTGGTTGTAAGTTTGAACTGGGTAGAAGGGTGCCAACATGACATGTGCATTCGTGAGCTAGTATGCAAAATTTAAAATTTCGTACGTAGACATTTTACGCAGAATAGTAAAACTTGTAATAAATTGGAAAAGTTGATTTTGTTGAAAATAACATTTGGCCTTCTTTAAAGGTTTTAGGTTATTTGTTGTTCTATATGTATCCACGTATTCATGTTCAGAATCTTGTAGTGTTTGTTGAAATATTAACGAGTTGTATTTTTTAAATAAATGAACTACATGAGCTGGTGTCATTCAAGTTATTTTCCACGTTGTTAGTGCTCTAAAAAATCACTTCATCGAATGTAAGTCTAAAAAAGAAATGGTTATACAAGCGACTTGCGCCTTTAACATTTGGAAATGGTGAATTTAATAATTATTATTAAATATTAAATAACATATAACACGAAAAATCATTATGTTTAACAAATATTAATTAACTATTGAAAATTATTTGTAAGTTTGATTTAATTCAAAATAATTTTCAATGTAATTCCTATAAAATTGAGTGTATGAAACACTCGCCATTGAACTACTAACCATTTTAATTGCAAACATAAACGCGAACAAACAAACAGCAAAAAACAATTAAACATTTAGAGTATGAATGGTTAAGATAGCAAATAATAATTAAATATAATCAATGTACAAGATGCCAAACACGTGGTTAATTATCATTAAAAAACGTACATCCTAAAGCTAACAACGTGTGCAAAATAGTATTTGCATTTTTCGTACATGAATAATATATCGATTAAATATCATAGAAATTAAAATTGTTGGAATTAATAGAGTTACTCGGAAAAAAGAATTAAACAATAAAAGTTTGGCAAGGTGCATTAATCGTTCATCGTTAACTCGCAACTTAAAATGTCAACTTTAAAATGGTACACTAGTGAGTGCGCAAAGAAAAATGAAACACACACACACAGAAAAACACATACACACACATGACCAGAAAAACATTCACAGACAAACACACACTCATATGCAAACATTTTTATTGGGCGTTAGATACTTTTTCTTGTTCACGTTCATGCAATTTACCTAAATCTCAAAAAATGATGTCTTTTCGAACTAAAGTAATAATTAATCAAAATTTAGAAGTCAGAGGAATGAGAATTTAAAAAAACTTGAACGACATAATCTCATGTTCAATATTGCTTCACTTAACAATCGTAGCATATTTGTTTATTGAAATTTTGGATATAATCAAATGGTATTTAGCAACATAATTTTATCGTACATTCAGAAAACATCCGTCAGTTACTTGTTAAATAACGAACTAGATTAATTACGCGTAATTTCATTATATAGAAAGAAATATTTCTTACAAAAACATCACCAGGAATGATCGAATTGAATGCAAATTTCCTAAATTCAAAGATTGATAGAGTGATAAAGTCATAAACAAATAATCTGCTCAAAAGATTTCGAATATATGAAACGCTAGAAAAAAACTCTAAGCAATATAACTTTTCTCATCTAGAGCACTTTATTACAATTCGAAGGCCAATTATTTTGCCTGGACAAACGACATTCCACTTAAGCAAGCAAACCATCCAGATATTTATTTCATCACGGTTTCGTTTCGTTTTCATATTTTCAATTGTAAATCATTAAACACAGTGTACAAACCAAAAATTGAACCTTTTCTTATCACTAAATATACATATATATATATATATAATATATATATATATATATATATATATATATATATACATACATAAATAAAGAAATAATGAAAACGAATAAAAAATACTGGATGAGTGAGTGAATGATATATATATATATATATAATTTAGCTAATACATATATTTTAATATATATATATATATATTTATTTATTTATTTATTTTATTTATATATATATATATATTATTAATATTTCTTAGTACGGAAGAACGGAAGACAGGTATTTATAAATCTCTATGTGCTGACATAAAATATGTAACAAATTTTTAGGAATAAATAAAAATTTAAATAAAGTTATAAGAATTTTAATTAAATTATTTGACATTTAAAAAATTATTACACCCGTATGACGACCGTATCATACAGTAGTAAGTATCAATGCATTGATATCACAATGTAACTAAAGAAAAAAACAACTGTAGAATTACACCATTAACGTTTCTTCATTATAATGGAACAAGATTATGAAATAATTAATGTTATACGTTATTTAAGATGCACGTTATAATTATGTATTTATTCAAACAAGGTGTTGATCTTTAATCGAATTTGGCTACTTTAGCATGCAATTTTGACAATGCAAAATTACATGGTCTGTTAAGGTTTTTTTGAAATTACTGTTCCGAAGTGTTTAAAACAGTTTAAAGTGTTTTATAGTGTTTAAAGATTTCAATGATTTTTCCACATGATTTTTATCCGATAAATTTTTGTTTGGACTATTGTTGGCTTGATTTCCGTTTTTTAATGTTTTGGAAAAAAAATGTTTATAAGTGTTGAACCAAAATCTTGAATCGCTCAAATCTATTTAAAATTTTTCGCAAAAATTTTTATTGTGATTCGTAAAATTTTTATAGGTTTTTAAAAAAGTTGGAAAAATTAAAATTTAAAAATATTTGAAAGTTATTAAAGATAAGATAATATGCTTGTGACGTCTGAAAATGTGAAGTTTTTTGAAGATGTCTGGAAATGTTCAATAGCATTTATAAATGTTTGCGAGTACGCTGGAATGTTTAATCAAACGATTGTCGTTCTTTTGAAGGAAGATTCTCGCTCCAGACTCTGTTGTTTATGCTGTTTACGCTGGTGCTTTTGTCGTCGTTTGTGTAGCTGTTGTTGTTGCTGTTGCTGCTGCTGTAGTGGTTGTTCTTCAGGCGCTTGAGTAGAAGGTTCTCGCTTTTGTTGACTTTGTTGTTTTTGTTGTTTGCGGTTGTGCTGATGATGATACCGTTGGTGTGGCGTAGATCGTGGCAGCGATGAATAACCGAGATTCTCCACTTGATGCTGTCTTTTGTAATGCTTGCGATGTTGATGTCGCGACGACTCTCGCTCCTGTCGTTGGCGTATTTGTTGTTGTTTGTTGTCTAAAATTTTATGTTGATGCTGCGGAGTTTGTTGCGATTGTGGTCGCTGCTTGGTTGAGGCCGGTGGGGCAGTAGCTACACTTGTTGAAGTAGTCGTCGTCGTTGACGGTGGCGAATGGCATGCGTGTACATCTGCATCAACGTTGAAGAAATTAGACCTCAACAAGCATAATGCGTCATTGTTGACGTCATTCTCTTCTTCCACGCTCTCATCTTCTAAATCTCCATCTTCTTGACCCTCTTCTTCTTTTTCTTCTTCTTCTTCTTCCTCCTCTTCCTCCTCTTCTTCCTCTTTTTCCGGGTCGTCATCCCCGCCGTCGTGATCGGAATCGAACGTTACATCATCGTCATCATTGTCGTCGTTAATGACATCATCGAATGGTTGATCACGTGTCCTAACTACGTGACTAGAGCTAGCCAATCCGATGCAAGATCTTGATAAAGGTCGTTTTTCAAATTCACGCGTTTTTGTGGCATTGTGGTAGGTGAAGTGTGGATCGCAGCAGTGAGGATGAAAACAGTAAGGATGAGGAGGATGAAAATGGTGGTAAGGATGGTGTGGCTTCTCTCGTTGTCTCTCGTGCTGGATATGATGATGATGAAAGTAATGGTGGTAGTAGAAGTCGTGACAACAAGGACGCATGAATCTGAAGTCGTGCGTCGGATAATTGCGGCATGTGTGGTAGAATGGCTCTACGCAAGGGTTGAATTTGCTGAAATCCATTTTAGGTGAAAATAGAGGCGGGTGGAGATTGCCAGGATGTGATAAAAACTGATGAGTAGTTTTTTTGGGGTTTAAGGAGAAGTCAAACTCGTCTTCATCAGCGTCGTTGAATTCTTTTTGGTTGGCTCTTTTCGTGTTGGTAGGTGTTGATGTGGTTGTTGTTGCTGAGCGCTTTGTTTTACAGAGCAGTTTTTTGGCGTTCTGTGATTTAGGATGATTCAATTTGAAGTGTTGTTTTTTATGATGTTGTTGTTGTTGCTGCTGCTGCTGCTGTAAAGGTTGTTGTTTTCGTTGAAGTGAAGTAATGGCAAAAGGTTCAACGGTTTGATCAGTGATAATGTCTTTGCACGGCGAGGTGGCGGTTTCTTCCGCGAAGTCTTCCGTCGTCAACGTCTTGACTGAGGACCTGTGGAGACATTTAAATTTGTGTTTCAGTGTGTTATTTTATGTGTTACGGTGATGTTAGTTTTGTGATGTTAGCTTGTTGTCGTCGTTCATATGTTATATATTTCCTCATTTTTGAAAATTATTTCGTTTTTTAATGTGTTCAAAAAATTTTTGTTATCCTTATTCTGTTTTGCGTGTTCAGGTTAGCTTAACAACAATTTTGCGTATTGTGCGTGGTATTGTATCAAGGCATTTAGGTTGGGTGGGGTGTTAATGGCTACGCGCTTATTAAAACCTGCATTTAGATGGATTTGCATTGGATTAATAAACTATCTATTGGTTGCTTTTCTGTTTGTTTGCATATCTTTCTGTTTGTTTGTCTGTCTGTCTGTCTGTCTGTGGACGTACTAACGCATTTTGTTAGTAAGTTCCAACTCCAATGTTAAATTTTGGTTTCGGTCTTCGAATATGATTCTCAAATTGAAATTTTGTAATGGAGGAAAAAATTTGAAAGCAATTTGGACGATAAAATTTTTATAGCAGCGTCCAGACAGAAAGAGCGGCAGGGCAGATGACGTGCACACACGTACGTACATACATTGTTTCACATGGGAGCCTATGCAGATGGTCTCACGAGCTACAGAACGCGTGTACATGCACGCACAAATATAGACAAGTATGCATACCTTTATTTAAATATACATGTATACATACATTAAAATACATATTTATACAAACATAAAGTATTTAGATGCATACAGATATAACTATGTACTTACATGCATACAAATAATTTTTAAATGATTAAACGAGTATACATTTGCTACAAAACCACAGGCACAAGCGCACCGGCACAAACGCACAAACAATGAACAAACCTGCTTCGACACTCGTGAATACCATCACCATCATCTTCTTCATCGCCACCGTGGTTGTCATCGTCGTCGTCGACGTCATCTCTGACGTCATCAACATCGTCATCACCGCCTCCATCGCAACTTTCTTCTTCTAATTTCAAACGTCGCTTCGAATGTTGTTGTTGCTGCTGCTGTTGATGTTGTTGGTGGTGCAGACGATGCTTCTTGAAGATGACATGACGGAACTGAACGATGCACAAGTAGACTGCCAATACGCCCGTCAGCTGACAACCGACAAATGAACAGACTGTCAACGCGAACGATGGTCCGTACCAGTACCTTTGTTGTTGTTGATATTGTTTTTGTTGTTGTTGTTTTAGTTTATGTTGTTGTTGTTCTAAATTATTTCGTGAATAGTTTTATTAAAATTTATATTTTTTTTGAAATTAGTAAACTTTAATTTATTTTCGTTGAGTTGTTTTAAAAAATATTTTTAATCGACCAAATTTTGACACGTCAACATATTCTTTTAGACTATATACAAATTATTATTTGTACAATTCGTCAGTTGAACGTTCGCACCGAAATCTGGGCTCATCCAGGGTCGACTTGGGCCGACTGCTGCTCGCTTCCTCGGTCACGGCGCTAATGAAGACGATCACTCCAATCAGCGTACAGAGACCTGGCCAATCATTTCAACAAACTCGTCGTCACAATTTTAAACAGATTCAATTTAATAATTTAAACGGAATAGATGCAAACAACCGCGCGAAACGTACAACTGGCAAGCACATTGAAAAGGAAACATTTGCACTGACAGGCCAGCTCGCCAAACAAATAAGAATGTTTACGATTCAGTTTTTTCTTTTAATTTCAATTAACACCGTTGAGAAAGATTTCCATTGAGATGGAAGCAACACTTCAAGCAGGAAATAAATGAAAAGCAGATTAATATGCAGTAGTAGCTTTTTGTTATGTTTCTGTTGTGATCTATAACTAACAAATGGCATAATCAAATACAAGTTTGCCGTGTCCAGAATATATGTCCAAAGAAGAAAAGTAAGGTAGTTTACTGTTTTTTTTAACTCAATGCCAAATAATTTTTTGAAAACAAATCTCTCAAGTCAAGTCATCAAAGTTGAGTTGGATTAGTTTACTCACGCCTATGCAAACTCTAAATAAGCATTACAGGTTGAAATAATCAATAAATATATAACTTTATAAACAAATTAGTGTGAGTTGCCATTAGAACTAGATTTAAAAATCAACCATTTCAACTCAGAGGTAGCTGCATTTCAACAGTTTCAATTGTGATGGGATTGCTAGTTTAGTTTTTTCATGCGTGTTGGTTTGTTAGTTTTGATGTTGTATTTATGTTGTTGGTTCAGTCCAGCAACATTTTATTGAACATTTTATAAAACATAGTGAGGAAATAAATTTGTTCCCAAAAAATATCCAAAAACCACTTTTCAATATGTAAAAATTTTATTAAAAAACTGTTCTCTGCTTTGTACATTAGAAAAGTTTCATAGAAACAAAAACTCTCTCCCGATAATTCTTTTACATCACGTGCTGGAGCTTGTGTATGCCTACGTGTGCCCCGCTTTTTCAAAATTATTGAATGGAAAAATAAATAAATAAATGGACGGACGAATAAAAGAATATAAAATATGCAAAATAAAAAATAAAAACGTAAACAAATAAATATTTGGATGAATCAGTGAAGAAATGAATAAGGACGCATAGATGCATTTTTCGGCACGACCATACCTCAACTGTTATTCCAGTCAGGACTTATACAGCGGTGATGTGTATTTGAATATAAAGTGCGTATAGGTGTATATATAATAATATATATATAACATATTGTTACACAATACCCGGTGTTTGATATCTTTTTGGTAAGTATGTAGTATAGCGTTTGCTTTTAAGTACCTCTCAAAAAGATGCAAAATAAAACAAATATTTTATGTTTAATTATAGCTAGTTGTGTATGCCTTCGGATGTTTGTTGAAAATTTGTTTTAGGTTGGTGATAAGAGCAATGCTGAGAGCGAATGCATGGAAAGTATTAAAAATAAAATTTATCCAGTTTCATTCAATTAGAAATATTAAAAAATTTTTTAAATTGAATGGAGCGGCTTTGCTCCTTGATAAATTCTTTTTTCTATTAACCTTAACCACACATTTCTTCATTTTCGTATTTTGAGAAGCCTGCAAACTGTTTGCTTGGTTTCATTTTGCATCGTCTTATATTTCTGTATTTCAACGAGTATACACACTTTTGTGTATGCATGCATGCGTGTGTGTGTGTACGTGTTCGCATGCGAATGTACGACCACATATTACAACGAGAACATTTGTCAACTGATGAAAACTTACAAGTGCTGTATTCATTTATGCATTTCCTCCACCAATAAATTAATATAAAGCCACAACTACACCTACCACAGCTACATCCACCACAGCCACACCCGCCACAACTGTTGTTGCTATAGCTACCACTGCCACACACGCTACATCCACGCCGGCTATGACCACAGCCACACCTACTACAGCCTCTTCGGCTATAGCTACTACACCTGCCACAGCCACCACACCCGCCACAGCCACACCTGCCACACCATTTGTTAACAAAAATGTAATTATTTTTATATTCTTTTAAAATAAATAAATAAATAAATATTTAACCATATAATTATGTACTTATCAATACATACAGAAATATAAAAAGTTTAGTTGAAAATGAATAAACCTTTCAATGATATCTAACTATGATATCTAACTACTTTTATATCAGCTTATATGCAGTGATTACTTTTCAGCAAAGGATTTTAATTAAAATGAAAGAAATTAAATTTTCAAAAAAATATAAAATACAATTAGAAAGAAATTTATAAGTTTGTCGACAATTTATCTGCATTAAAACCTCTAAAAAACTTTACCCCCAGTGAGGTTTGAACTCACGACCGCTGGTTTACAAGACCAGCGCTCTACCACTGAGCTATAGAGGCAGGCAAACTTGGGCCGTACTAGAGAACAGAAGAGAACGAAATACAGAATACTCGAGTTACACTGAGTGTTAATTAAATAAGTTTCTCAGTATGCGCTATATCCAACATAGTGTTATAATGTTATAACTTCTGTGATCTCTATATTTCCAACGCCAGCGTTGTAGCTTCCAACGATCGTCAAGTGTTCGTTATTCCGTGGGTTCAATAGATGAATATGACTGCTTCAAACAACGCAAACTTGGATGAACGTTTATTTGAATGCCAACATTAATAGAAACACTAAACTAAACTAATCTAAGTAACTACATAAATCACATCTACGGCTTCGCGTCAAACCTCGCTTCAAATCTGTGCCTCCGCAAGGCCTTATATAGCCTCTACGGTAGATTTTTACAATCAAAAGATTAAAAATATAGCTAAGATAACAAAGATAACGAAAAATCAAGATAACAAATAATATAGCGCAATTTGACCATTGTGTGTGAGACAAGCAAAGACAAAAGTTTAGATTTATCAGACCGCATGCATTTGTTGTATAGGTACGGTACAAAGGCTGTTCATGAAGGTGAAGTTCATCAATGAATAATGTGGCGAGGCAATCAAATCAGACGGGAAGCATCTGTGCACCTATCAGTTTATTTGTAAAACTGACAAATATATCATTCAACTTAAATGCTTTCAACCATTCAATCATTTACTCCTGGTTCGTTAATCAATGCGTTCGTATTTTTTTTATATTTTCTTTCATCAATTCTTGTACACATCTAACAATCAATCAATCAATCAATCAATCAATCAATCAATCAATCAATCAATCAATCAATCAATCAATCAATCAATCAATCAATCAATCAATCAATCAATCAATCAATCAATCAATCAATCAATCAATCAATCAATCAATCAATCAATCAATCAATCAATCAATCAATCAATCAATCAATCAATCAATCAATCAATCAATCAATCAATCAATCAATCAATCAATCAATCAATCAATCAATCAATCAATCAATCAATCAATCAATCAATCAATCAATCAATCAATCATTCAATTCAAATAATTATACTGTTAACCGTATGGGCACATATCCACGATCAACAAGTCCATCCCTTCGTTCGTATACCCATCCAAACGTATACCAATTACATCTGCCCATTGGTTTATCCATTCGTCCATAGATCAATACATCCGTCCATCCATCCATCCAACTAACCAACCATCCATCCATCCATCCATCCATCTATCCAACTAACCATCCATCAATTCATCAGTCACTAACCTCCGATAACGAATAGTATCCCTGATATAAATGTGAGGACGTTCCGTCGGGTGCACTGCCCGATGAAGCAGGCCACCTCACCGACCAGCAGGATGATGAGGCTGGCGATGGGAAACATAGAAGCCCTACGGAGTGACACTGAATGTGAAGGAAAGCGAGTCGGTCGGTATATTTACGAATCGTCCTTCAAAACCGATATGCTGTGGAAAACGCGCATTCGCTAGTTCATTGAATTATTTATGTTTTTTTTCCTCTCATTCAATCATTTGTTTGTTCGCCATTTGTTTATTCATTCGTGCACGTGACTGAAATAAAATTTTGATTGCAGTTGGTGGAGTGGCGATAACAACTGCAACGACGTCGATGATGCTACTTCATACACGTTCGTGTGTGGTGTGGTGTGGTACGACTCAACGCGTGCAACTGATGATTATTTGCTTGCTTGAGAGAGTGAAGAAGTGAGATTGTACAAATTTATATGAACGTGAGCAAATAAAAATTTTATGCGTAGCTCTCCGCAAAATAGAGATTGCCAATGTTGAACATGGGTGAGCACTTACAAAATAATTTTTTTCAAATATAGTAATGCCAGTTTGTTTTCACCACAATAAAAAAATATAGAACATAACAGAGAGAAATTATTAATAATTCTTAGAAATTATTTTCAAATTATTAAAATATTAAAAAACAATTCAAACTGCTTTACACTGGCGAAGCACTGATTCTGATGGTTTCAAGTCTTCTCGTTCCATGTACCTCAAATATGGAATGTAACTGCAGTTTCTCTCTGGACTCTTCTTAACTATAATATTAACAAATTGATTTGGGCTCTATTTTAAAAGTTTAATTAAAAGAAGAAAATATTTATGCATAGTTTGAATGAAACGAAACAGTAGTTATAACACAGTAGACAAACATGAATGGTATGCAGATTTCAACCATATAAATGTGTTTTTTTTTGTTTTAAAATGTCGCATGAAAAGCGCAAAACTTTGAAACTACCACGGTACATTTTTGTTTTGAAGCTTTAGAAATATTAACGAACATTAATAACTTATTTTTTTCTGAATCTGGAGCTACGTATTTTCAAGAAGCGAATATTAAATTACAAAATTTTTACTCGACAAAACATTGCAGCATGTGATTGACAAACTGCTTTATTATTTCACATAACATTTAAAATCGCCTGCTAAAAACGGGAAGATATGCAAATCAAATGCTGTCCGAAATTAACCACACCCGACATTGCGGTTACTGGGCAGTTTAAAAATCTTTTACTCGCATCATAAAACTTGTTATAAAAGCTGTCGTTTAGTTAAAAAAAAACTTCTGTTAAAACAATCTTGTACCTGCTGCAAAATCGGTGAAATAAATCTAGATGTGATAAGCTGAAAATTAAAAGTCATTATTTTTTTAGTTTTAATCATTTTATTTGAGTTTTATTCACAAATTTTAAATGATTTAATAAGTTATTTCATTTAAATATTCTTGTTTAGTCTAACAGATATAGCAAATATGTTGGTCTGAATAATTTTTAAAATCAAAAGTGGATAGACAACACACACGCATATTAATTATTGGCGAGTTAGCACAGATGGCAAAAATGCCAGGTCTTGCATCGTCTTATTACGCGATGACTTGATTCTCTCAGTCCGAAACTCAATAACCATTAAACGCCATGCCCATGGCAGTTAATTTATGATTAATTCATCATGCGTATTTAATTATACAATGATGCGATGCTTGCACGTGCACAAAGATAAGTGTACACGTGGTTTGGTGTGGTGGGACTCGCACAATCTCTGGGGCACGAGAGCTTGGTTGTCAGAATCGGCACGTAAGTGTCCCTCTGCTCGTCAGAGTAGCATAATGAAGAATGCACAAGAAAATTGTTTCCGTTTTGGTTTCCAGTTTTTGAATAAGCAAGCACAAGAAAAGAAATTTACAAAATTTTGTTTTTCAAAGAAATTGACTGAAAGTCCAGCAGAGAGATTTTTAAAAACTGGACTGACAAGAATACTTCGTCAATCATTTTTATTTATTGATTGGCTTACGAAATGTTTTTTTAAATGGAAGGATTTTTTTAATTATTTTAAAAGAAAAGAAATGAAATTTTATTTATGGAATATCAACACTAGCCACATAAATAGAAAACGAAATATATTTTTGTTTTCATTGTGATTTTCTTATTTTTCAATCTAATTTTGGTAAACCAACTATGCTAACAGGCATAAATTTGAAAGAAAACAGAGCGAAACGACGTTGTTTATTACATTTTATCCATCCTGCATTAATTTCTTCAACACTTAACAAACATCAGGTCTACAAAGACGCACGTGCAAGCGAACATCAGCCATATTGTTACATTACAAAACACTCAATGATATTAATAATAAAAAAAAATTATCAGGATGGCATTCGATTCTTTCCTAATTTAAAAATGAAACTAACTAATTAAAAACAATTGAACTGAAAATGATGGAACTGCGAAGGAGGGAACAGAACGTACCATCGAGTGTACACTTCCTCCAGAGTCCATTGTACGTTTTGACGTAGTACCCGGTCTGGTTGGTGAATTCGATCCTGTCCTCGGCGTACAGCCAGTAATCCGTTGCCACGGCAACGCAAAGAAATGAAAATGAAGCGCACGCGCACATACTTGTTGCTAAGGTCAGTGCTTTGGGATTTCGCCAGCAACCTTTCTCTTCATCTCCCTCCATACATCTTCCGGGATCAACTGGCCTTGCACTAGAGGTTGAGAGCGATTGCAGAGATACTCCTGTCCCGCTGTTCTGCCGGGAACGATCCTTTTTATGATGACATCAATGAGGATGGTGATGACGACGATGACGATGGTGATGAAGACGATAATGATGGCGATGACGATGACAATGATGATTGTGATGACGATAATGATGATGTTTGAACTATAAGTGGTTGTTGCACTTATTCTAACCTCAACGACACTTTCTTCAGTAAACAATCAAATGAGAACCACGTTGAAAAGTGAGCAAGAAGGAGTGGTGATGAACATCTGATTGTTCATTACTCTTTTTCAAGTTCCTTTGCAAACAATTTTCAAGTTATTTCATTAATCTTCACTCAATAACTTGAAACTCTCTTTACAAAATGAACTGACCAAAAAATGCTCGAGACATATTTTTTAAAGAAGAACATTTTCCAAAGATTCTACATCAAGGCGAATACATTACGAACAGCAAATAATTAAAACAGGCTAAGACAACGTGAATAAAATCTCAAAAAGTTTAAAAACAAAATTTAAAAACTTCACACGTTTTAAACAGTGCTCTTAAATCTTTATGGGTTATTTTTTCCCAACAGCTGATGTTGAAACCTATAAACAATTCTTCCTATAGCAGTTAACGAGCATACAAACAAAATGAAAAAAAAACTTGAAAAAACGCCAAAAAGTAGGAGAAAAACAAAATACCTTACATGGAAAATCATAAAAAGTGGTAAAACCACACACACACATAAATCTATAATATCTTGTCGTTACGTTACACACCTCCATAAAAATAACCAGAAACCTGGCTACCTCAAAGTGCTGGCGACATAAAAATCGATAACATCTCGCCGAACCACGTACAAGCGATTCGTTACAAATAAAATATGTCTCTCTGTGTGTGTGAATGTTTGTATGTGTGTTTGCGTGCGTGTATGTGTGTGTATGCATATGTAAGTGTGTGTTTGTGTGTATGCATATGTATGTGTGTGTATGCATATGTATGTGTGTTTGTGTGTGAGTATGTATGTGTGTGTAAGCGTGCAAATGTATTTGTGTACGTGTGACATTTGTTATTTATGTTCAATTTTCTCAGTATTCAACGCCGGTATTGAAAGAAATGATGTTACGGGTCGTTTAACATTGAAAGAAATAAATACTTTTTCTTACCACAATTATGCACACGGTCATTTTTTTAATATTTGGCTGAACGTCTCCGTCTGAGGCAGCAGATGTGATTGAATTTTTGTTGTTAAGTGACGTTAAGGTTTGGAAGGTTGGGTTAAACCTGCTTTCCATGGATGTGTTGAATCTCGCGATTAAAAAAATTCTAAACTGAATGGATAGTTTCAAAAATTTAATTTGAAAATTTTATGTCGTCCACAGATAAGAGTTTAGTTTGAGTTTCAAAGTCTATGGAGAAAAAAAAACAAACAAATCAATAGACTGAATAGAGTATAAAATTTGAAAATGTCAACATTTAAAATACGTAAAGTATAAAATACAAAAATACAAAAGTTTACATCAAAACAAAAAAAATATTCACGCGCCACACGACGTATAGCTAGAAGCTGAATTCTCGGACACAGATACATACAAAATCTAAGAAAGTGCACAAGTTTATACACACCACATCACACACACTCACACACACACAAGCGCGTGTTTGGTTACACTAAATAACTAAACAAATTAAAATGAATTTGAAACGTAGCGAATTAAGAAACAAAAAAGTGGAGGGGAATGAAAGGAGGAAGGCAGCCTACGAAACGAAGTTCATTTGGGAATTAGTTCATTCCTAATGAAGCCTGTTAGTAATTTAGAGTTTTTAATTTTTGTTATATACGTATTTTGTATCTTTGGTTAAATATCAATATAAGCATATACCTCAGTGTTTGTACATCGATATAATTTTCCCTTCTGTACAGATATCAATTAAATTATCTGAAATAATTGCATTGCAAGAGAACGCCCACAGTTCAACAAGTGTACAAAGGAGGAGAAAGATAAAGTAATATTTTATGCAAATTGGTGCACGCATCTTCGTACACTTCAACGTACGCACGCTTACTTTGTCTGTCTCTCTCGTGCTTTGCTGTGCACGACTCGAAGTGTGTGGAGGACAAGCGTTTGATGTTTTACTTGACAACTTTTTATTTTCTCAGTTGGTTGGCCTGCCGCTGATTCTGTGCGTTTCAACAACGTATTGATGTTTCGCACAAATGTTTCTGTTGTTGCGTGTACAAATGTTTGAGAGCATTGCAACACGCAGTTATACAAGCGTACGTGCATCGGAAGAAGTACTTTACTTACAAACAATCCCTTTCGATGTTCATTATGGTCCCGGTGAGATTACTCTGACATAAAAATTTGAAGAGGCAAACAGAAAAAAATTTAATAAAATGTGATAGTTAAGCAAGTGAACATTCTACTTCGTACATGCATAGTTGCATCATGATATCGTGCGTACATCGTTTCGAAATGTATATTTAAATAAAAATAAAATCATTTAAATACACGAAGCAAATAAATCCAAATGATCAATCAGGATAGTTAAGAACACACATACAAATATTTATAAAGGTGCCAGTCATCTTAACAAACAGAAACAATGTCAGGCCAGCGAAGAGAAAAGAGGAAAACAGCAGACATAATCATGTACCCAGCTACAACATTGTGACATGGAACAAATAGTTAAACATATGCACCAATATAATCAGATCTACAATCTACCACATACATGCTACTATGCGTTAAGGTGCGGTCTTTACTCTCTCTCTCTCTCTCTCTCTCTCTCTCTCTCTCTATATATATATATATATATATATATATATACACACACACACACATATATATATATTCACACACACGTATATATATATATATATATATATATATACATAGACTAGCACTATAAACATCTATACGTATAAATATATATAAATATATATATATATATATATAATAATGTTTTTACACAAATACAAAGCTGTGTTTATTTAAATTTTATATACAAAGATACACAAATGCATAAACTGAAATATACACATGAAAGTGTACGTCTGAATATGTGTATTTGTATGCATAGGTTTGTATCAAAATGTACGTTGTGTACGTACAGTACCTATTCTTGTATGTATGTACGTATATAATATTAGGTTTGTATCAAAATGTACGTTGTGTACGTACAGTACCTATTCTTGTATGTATGTACGTATATAATATATATACGTATGTACGTATATAATATATATACGTACATATATTATATATAATATAATATATATATATATGTATATATATATATATAACAAGATGACCACACATTAGATGCAGAAGACAGACATTATAGCACGCTATGTGTTGCTGGTTATATGTAGGGTACGTAGTGTACATATTTGTATGTACATGTACGTAGTGTATATATAACATATTTGTATGAGATTGCAGTGTACCTGTTTGTGTGTACATAATGTACAATATTCGTATGTGTGTCCCATGCTTGTCTTGCTGTCATGAACGAAAAAGTTTCCAGTTAACTGCTCACTTTCTTCTGTTTCTACTCTCTATATTTGTAATCGTCATATGTTGCAGAAAAAATAATATGTACCATCGCCCATAAGGTGGAGTAATTTAAACTATATGTACCTAACCTACCATACACGTTTGCAAATAATTCCATGCATGCACCACAATAAATAACAGTTTCTTACATATTAATATTTACGAGACATTGGTTGCTTGAGCTGTGTTCATATTTCATATGGACACGTCAGAAAAATGTACACATGTGTACAGCACAGGCAATGCGTACACGCACGTACATGGCATCCATCAAACTGTACGTTTTTATAACGCGGGACTTTTTCCTGAAACCCACGACGTACGTAACACGGCGAACACAACTTTCGCTTCCAGATTTTGTGATCCCCATGCTGTTTGCCGTTTAACAGGCTTGTAATTGTCGGCATTGCGTGCTATATGGGTGTAATTTGAAAAACAAAAAATAAAAAGAAACTTAACAATTTGTTTGGAAAAATTCTCCGAAATTTTTTAAAATTATTCTCAACAATTTTTTCATACGCTGTTTTATGTCGAATTTTTTTAGACAAAAAATTGATCATGTCTTTTTCTATCCAACTTATATTTTTGCAATATGTTTTTAATTGGTTGTTAATTTCTTGCTAATAGTTAAATAAATCATTTTCAATTATCTAAAAAGAAAAATTTTTTAAATTTGTTTTTGTGAGGTTCCAAACCAACAAAAAAATCTTTACATAGATTCGTAATAAATACATTTTTTTTCTGGACTGCTTCAGTACGCTTAGATGTTACATTTTTAACCTGCAAAAAACGAGCCTAACTTTACTCAAACCCATAAGGATAGTATATGCGACACAAAACATGTACGTGTTAATACGAAGACTAAATAATGCAGTGCAAAGATGTGTTGAAGAGTGAAGCTGTTAGACCGACAAAACAAAACTAATACACCAAAACTTATGAAGAACAACAAATGACAACAAGGAGTAGCAACAATTTACAACAACAACACGTGAACACAACAACACCCAACAACACCCAACAACAGTCGTCTCTGTTTCTCCACAACTTCCTTGGTATGCTCTGCTTCTCCATTTACATGTTTGTTTATGTCCATAATAGATGAATGACCATAATAATGGATGGTCGTTTGTGTGCACGTGTGCAAGTGTTTTTGCTTTATGAACTAGCGGATTTTTTTCATCTCTCTCTCTCTCTCTCTCTCTCTCTCTCTCTCTCTCTTTCTCTCTCTCTCTCTTTTTTTTCTATTTTGTTATATACGCGTACGCACGCACAAATTTGATAAAGTTAAAGACTTGAAGACTGAATGCTTGTTACACTGCAAATATTTTGAAACATTCAGTTTTTGATATAATTTTTTTTATTTTCAAACCTTTTTCAAATGGAATGGCACTGGGTTAATAATACTATTATGGTATCGGCAAGTAGGGCTGAAATTCTTTACTGTTTGGATTGCGTTTAGTTCCTTTAATTGCAGCGCTCAGAAATAAATTGCAGATGTGTAATTAATTGTTTCATCAAGCTTATGCAACCTTTAAAAAAAAAGCAAAGAGAATGCTAATGATACAAATAAATTTTTATTAGGCTAATAAAGTGTTTAAAACCATGAATCTAAAAAAGTGATTTTTTATTCATAGTAGATAATTTTTTTATTGAAATTTTAAAATCAAATTATGTATTTTTCGTATAAAAATAAAAATACGAAAGTTTAATTTTTTCATTTTACGAGTAAGACATGCTGTCAAATAACTTTGTTTTGTATGATTCGCTTGTTTTTATGTTCAATTTACAATCAATTAGTGTTGCAAAAGTTCGAAACCTTACCATATTCCACTGATATTTTGATTTGTGAATATTTTTTCTTAGTGTTTTTATTGAAAATCATTTTACTGTATCAGTTAAATTTTAAAACATTTTGAGCCAAAATTTTAGATAAGAAGATTTATAAAATTTTTACTTATTAAATTATTTAATACATTATTAATATCACTTTAATTAATATTATAACATTTGTGAAAATGTTTGTAACCAACAAACAAACCGAGAGATGAAATAACAATCGATAGATCAACCATCAGTCAAAACATTTTATTAAAATTATTCAGCAACAAACCAGCAACTCAACAAATAAGCCAGTTTAATAATTAATTAATTTTACATTTTACCAACCTATTAAACAAATTTGTGAACTCCTTATAACTCTAGTATGTTAGTATCCATTGTTGATCTGTACAATTATAAATATATTTAAAACTTTAAAAAATTTTTAGTCGTTAATCGTTTTAATTTTTTTGGCAAAAAATTTTTTTTAATTATTTTAAATTTATTACAAAAAATTTTCCAAATAACATTTCGCTTAAACGAAAGATCCGTTTCCAGATATATTTTAATGAGGTTGCGATTTTTCAACTGGCTAACTTGCATCACATTCTTTACATCACATCACATTACATCACATCACATTACATCACATCCCATTACATCACATCACATTACATTACGTTAGGTTGTATTTTTATACAGTTTGTTTCACGTGAAGTAATTTTTCCAAATCTTGTAATTAAACAAAATTATAGGAACGATGTTTTTTTTTTTTCAAATTAACAACAAAAATTGAACGTCGGTGTTATGGAAGCAAGTTTTAAACATTTTGAATACGAAGGTTGTCACACCAAAACGACACAGCAAACAGCAAACAGCAAACAAAACATGCATACATACATAAACGCATCCATGTACAAACACATGCATGCATGAATGCAAAGCATAGTCATGCATTTGATAAACATACATGCACCCATGCATTTATGATTCATATGCATGCCTAGCCTACGTATCTTTCTGCTATTGAAGCATTTTGTTTAGGGGTCATTAAAATTGCCGTAATGAATTATGTACCCCAAGGAAGGCATACATTCATGCTAACATATGTGCATCCATTCATTCATTCATGCGTACATACAAATATCATCGTATGCATGCATGTATACACAAGTTCAGCGCATGAATGATTGAACATATAGGAAATACAATTCTTTGCATATGTATGTGGAGGCATCTAATGCTATCACTACAGTTGGTTAAGATTTGAATATTTTCTATCTGAACACCGCGCCTTCATATTAAAATTCAAAATTCAAAGAATGCACATAAACAATGCATTGTATAAGAATTATCGATGCAATTACATGTACGTACACGAATACTTAAATGAGAGTACATACATACATACGCATACAAATGTGGTACATCTGAGTGTGTGCACGTTAAAAAGCACGCTTATACAAATGTTTGTGTGGAAACTGTGTGTACTGTGATGAGAAAAATGTATATGTGTATTAATGTTATGCTTTCTTCCATGTATTCCATGTATGTATGTATAGACATGTACGTGCGTGCAGAACAACAGATGCATGTAGAAAAACCGGCAAAAGACGTACGTAAATCCGTATTTCCTGTATGTACGTGCGTACGTATGTATGCGTGTATGCATGCATGGAAGCATGTGTGTTATAAAGCGCAAAGAATGGTCAGTAGTATAGTTTGTACGTTTGCATGACATTTTCTTTGAATATTCATTACGTGGCTATTCACATGCAAATGTACAATTCGTCTGCTCTTGTTTTTCTTCTTTTCGGCGCTCTTCATGCTTCTCCCAATGTTGTTAGAGTATTTTTTTTTATTATATAAGAAATATTTTGTTGTATGACGCAACTACTGATACGTGTTGTTATTGTTAGTAATGTCGTTGGGGATGTTGTATAATTAAAGTTTAGTTATTTTTGTTGTTTTTGTGGTGATGGTTGTTTTAACTGTTGATGGATGACGATGAGGACGAAGAGGATGAAGAGGATGATGAAGATGATGAGGATGGTGATACTTCTTGCTTGGATGGATGCTTTATAATGTTCCTGTGATTGTCATGGATCTGAGGAAGAGTTTGAGTTTCGTTGTTTCGATGGTCAGGCATACATCACCGCATGAAAACAAAACAGAAAATTAAATAAGGAGGAGGTCAGGTTCTGCAAGCAACTCACGGACAGCTCTAAACGTACATCGTCCAAACAACATCGTGCACAAACAACAGACACAATCTTATCGTGCAACAGCATGTACAACAACCACATAGCATCGCAACGTATACAACCGCAATCGCAACGTATACAATCGCAACGTGCAACCGCAATATATACAACCGCGACAACACGACAACATCTACAATACAATCGCCATATAAAATTATCATAAAACACGACCAAAATAGCACAATTAATTAACAGTATCGGCTGTGACTCATAATAAAGATTAAATACATTTACTTCCTAATTTTTTGTGTGTAAAAAAGTTTTGTTTTATTGAACTCAGATAATTCATTTATTATTCTTTATTAATTTTTATTGAATCATTTATGTTAACGAAAGTTTCTGTATTTTAGAGCATATCAACAACTATTATTTACTAACACACACACATATGAATGCCCTCACAAACATTTACACACACACACACACTCAAACAAACAAACACACATAATTTTGTTCTATATTTATAACTGATTTACGTTTTGCAAAATATTTTTTCGAACGCAAATATGCAAATGCTGAAATGTACTTATAAGTGCGACATTCAATCTTAACGCTAACTACATTGGAACGTCTAAAAGCGTACATTTTCGTTAACGTACGCTCAAGATGTACTTACTCTCTCGTACTCTACACTCATACGCACATACAAGATAGACACACACTCACACATACACACACACACTCACACACACAAGCAAATAATGGATACATTAATTATCACACATACATGCCACACACACACACACACGCACACACACACACACACACACACACACACACACACACACATATATATATATATATATATATATATAATTAGGTATAAGGCTATTACGTATACAATTTATAATATATATAATATAATAATATAAATAATATATAAATACTCACACACACAATTTCTAGTTGCGTTAATTGATAAAGCCAGTAGAGCGTAGCGATTGAAATGGATATCATCTTGCCAATTTTAGTATGAAAAAAATTAAATTTTGAATTTAATAACATTGATACTATTAACTTCTGAATTGAAAATAAATTTATACAAAAATATAAACAAGATTGTAGGCATTCATAGACTGGACATACTAAATGTAAACATAAAGGCACACATACATACACTACACATATTAACAGATCTAGATTCACGCACGCACACATACACGCATACATACATAAAAATATACATAAACAATGTGAACGCACATGGTAGGAGCATTCAGGCGTATGTACGTCCACGTATCACGTTGCATACCTAAACGACCTCGCCAAACAAAACTGCGAAAACTGACGCATATGTTCAAATATAAACCATGACATTCTCG